CCCATCCTATTAAAAAAAACACCAACCCAACCAACCCACCGCCCCACAAGTCATTCCTTCCCCTTTCCCGCCTCTCTCGCGCGCGCAAAAAAAAAAAATAAAAATTCCCCATCTGTCAATTTAATTCTTTGATCGATGGGAAAGAGCAGAAAAAAGCGGCCCGGCACAGCTGGCTTCCCAAGTTAGGCCTGGCAGGACACCGCCAGCCCCGCCGCTGACGGCTGAGTGCAATGTTTGCCAAGCGCAGAGAACACAAGTCAATAGTAATTTAGCTGGATTGGGAGCAAGTACCTTCCCCGCACGGACTGCGGGCTCCCGGGAGAGAGGGAGGGAGGGAGGGGGCGCACACACACACACACACACACACACAGAGGGAGGGCTGGCCAGGATGGAGCCGCCGCCGGCAACCGTCAGCCCACGGCAAGCAAGGCAGGGAAGCAAAAAGAGCGTTCACAGACCTTTGGGGAGGCGCAGCAATGGGATGGAGGGGATGGGGGAGACGTGTAGGTCCACACTGGGGGCTCTAGATGCCACCCCACAGCGTCCCCCTCCCGTGCAGGGCACGGATCCAGGTCCAACCCTCGCCCCAGGGCTGGGAAATTCAGCTGCAGGGCATTGGGATCCATTTCGTGGTGGTTTCAGTGGAGCCAAAATAGTCCCCCACACTGGTTTCAATGATGCCAGTGATCCTTGTTTTCCAAAAGTGGGGGATCCCCCTTCCCCAAATGAGGGCCAAGATGCTGCTGGTGGCAGGGTTTGTGCATCCCTCGCCACCCTTCTCCACGTCATTATTTATTGTTTTATCTCCATCATCAGTGGTTGGACTCCATGATCTGAAAGGTCTCCTTCGAGGTAAACAATTCTATGATTATGGGCTGGATTAGAGGCCCCAAGGCCAACCGTTGGCCAACCTTTCTGTGGCTTCTCCTTACCATGTTACAGTACGTGAGTCTCTTTTTATCCACAGCAGCATCAAATCCTCCCCTGTAGCTGGCCAAGCTCTGGTCCCACTGATTAATAATCCATGGTGGGGTGCAATTAAAACTCAAAGAAAGTGATTTGTGGGTTTTTTCTCCTAAGGTAAGGCCCTCAGGATGGAGAGAAGGTACGCTCAGGGATGAGCCACAAGACTTAAACCTCATACAGCCTGTGCTGGGAGGCAGGAGAGCGGGCACAGGGTGCAGTGCTGGAGTCCCAGCTGTCAGGGCTGGGCACTGGCTTCCCTCCTGCCAGCACTTCTGAAACCATCTCTGGCAGCTGGTGACCACCTCTGGGGTCCTCACTTTCTCCTGGAACATTACAAAGACTCCGAACGAGCCACAAAGGATGACCTGAAAACTACACGAAATGGGAAGAAAGGCGATTCCATTTTATTCCACCTATTAGACCTATTGAAAAGATGGCTCAGAAGTGGCTCGATTGCCACGACAAAACGCCCGCACGGAGAAAAGATTTAGGAGGCCAGACCTCTCTTTAACCTAACAAATCACAGCAGAGTGAGAGCCGGGAACTGGAAGCCAAATCTCTATAAACGGTGTCTAGAAATAAAGTGCATAATTGTAGCAGAGAGAAGGCAGAGGCAGGATGTGTCTCTTGCAGGCCAGGTTTAGACTTTACAAAGTATTTCTTTGCTAAGATAAAACTGATGGGGCTGACAATGGACCTACTGGTGAGGGGATTTGGCCACTGCTCCCCAAGACACTAGCCCGAAAGGTCAGGGTGGGTCTATCAAAGCTGGAGATGCAGAAATCGGTGAGATGGAGCAGGATGAACTCATTGCTCAAGTCAAACTCACCATAAGACCCAGGGGAGTGCAAGTCACCGCATTGTCCCACTGGACCTGGGTGATAACAACCCCTCCAAGGCCTCAGGGCAACCTTCTCACCCTCTGTGAGGACTCTGCAGCCTCTCCTCCACACAGATCCACCATGGGCCAACTGTGGAAACATCGTACACCACTGTTGTGGTCACAGCAAACCAAAAACTGCACAGAAAAGAGGAAATGGAAGAAGGAAAAGAAGGACCTTTTCAAATTATTTAAATTCTGATTGCACAAAACTTGGAAGAAATGAGTCTGAAAGCACCGTGAGATGGGCAGTCTCAGTCCTTTGTCCTGCTTTCTCCAAACAGCATGGGGTGCTTGTGGTGGTGGAGCTCTCCAGATCCAAAAGGATCACAGAAGACTTTCAGAGAAAGGAAAAAAACCAAGATTCTCCCATGGGATGGCAATGCTGAACTCCGCAAAGAAATTTAGGGCGGGAAACAAGGGATAAGCTGAGTTGGATGGTGGGGTAAGAGCCACCTCAACTACCACACCATGCCTTTTGAAGGCATCTGCCTCCACGTCCTGCTTCTCAGCTGCTGCTGGCTTGGCTTGGCTTGGGGAGCAATGTGAAGACAGCAGCAGCAGTGGCTTTTGGTGGCAAAGAGCAGCTGAAGACATCAAGGACCTTTCTTTGTCTTGACTCTATTTCCTGAGCCTTGACGACTCGAAATTATCGTTTCTCTCCCATCCCCAGATCAGTTCCTTCCTACTTGGAGATAAGGAACCAGAGGGGCCTGATGGCTGCAGCCTGCAAAGCTGTGGGAAGACCCTCACAAGTCCCCCACACCAAGGTGGGAGAGGAAAACTCACAGGGACATCCATGAAAAGCGTGGGGAAGTCCAAGCTGCTCCTGCGCCTCGTGGGGAGAAGAGGAAAGCGGGGGAAAATGGGTATCGGTAGGAAAAAGTGGGTTTAGTTTCTGGTTAAGAGAATCCAGTCTGCATCACCAGTGAAATGAGATGTGTGGGCTCAGCCTGGGGGCTTTGGGGAGGACTCAAGGCAAGGCAGCGATGCTGGGTGAGCTCCGTGTCCTCTCCACCCTGGCTCCACGCAGGAAAATCAGCCTCCCCCTACACCGGGGTGGGGGGAAACGTGAAGGAGCATCTCCACGGGGGCTGAAGGCAGAGTGGGAGGTGGAGATTTCCCCTCTTTATCATGTTCTGCACACCCACAGCAAAAGGGACAGGGCCTGGCTCCCTCCCCACATCCACTGGGCCACTGGGGCCACTGGGCATCGCTGACAGAAGCCCCACAGCAAGCCCACCCTGAAATCAGGAAGGCACTTCCCAAAGAAATCAAATACCACCCGTGATGTTCCAGCCACCGAGAGGCTGAGACCTGGTCCCAGGCAGCTCCCAGTCCCACCAGTGTGTCCCAGATGGGCTTTGTCATGGAGATCCACTTCTGGCAGACCCCTCTCTGCCTCAGGATTAGCCCCCAGCCATTTCACCTGAGCACCAGGCAGGGGTTGAAGTCACTGGATGCTATTTCTCTCCCCTCAAGACGGGCTGGAGCAGCGATGACTGTCGCCTCCCATCACATTTTCGGTCCCTAAAGATGGGGAGGGATAACATTCCTCCTGTTTTTCAGCTGAGCCCCTGGAGACACCACAGCTCCGAGGCTGCATCACCCCTGGGATGTGAAAACACTCTTCTGCCACTCTCCCAGAGTGAGGAAGACCCTGGAGAAGGGGGCTGGAGGAAGAGCAGACACAAATTGGGAAGCAAGCTGGGGCTGGGGGGGAAAAGGGAAGTGACAGAGCTCGCAGGCAGCAGCAAGTCTGTAGCCACCAGAAAGCCAAGGCTGTTTTTCCCCCCTGGACTGAGCAGAGCAGAAAGGGAGAAAGGAATATAAAACGGGGTGCATGAAACATCACACCCGCTGCCTCCTCCACCTGGGTGGAGATTTGCATTAACACCACGTGTCCCCCCTCCAGTGCTGGGTTCTGGGTGGGCACATCCACCCCCCCAAGCAGCCACACATTCCTCCCCCGTGTCCCCATGGGCACAGCCCAGCCCCACACCCCGGCTGTGACACACACCTTGACACCCCTGGGCTCCTTTTGGTCTCCTTTTTTTGGCACTGTGTTGGAGATCCCACCCTTTGGATCCCAGCACATCCCACTCTGCTCCATATTCCCCACCCTCAGCCTTTCCACCACCAAACTGCAGCTTCCCCAGCCCCTATTAATCAGTGCACGTGACTCCACGAACAGGGGGCTGGGTCCTGCTGGAGTCAGGATTGCTAAATAAGTGTGGTTTGCTGCTTTTTCCATCACTGGGGGACTGTGACGTGCAGCCCCAGAACCATTTATGCCAACCCCCCCCCTCCCGGGGCGACGGGCACGTGTGTGATGGAGCAGGGAGGCTGGGAAGGGGTGCAGGGGGAAGAGCATTGATCTCCAGCTTAGCCCACCAGCCCAGGGGAGCCCTTCCTACATAAATATTTGCCAAGCAATGCATTTGTGCCTGTCGATGGCTGTCAATAGGAGCCTGCAGCGCTGTTATCTGCCGAGCTGTCACTCTCGGGAAGCTCATCCAAGCAGCCCTCTCCCCATCTCAACCAAACTGTCTGTCCCTTTTTCATCAGGCGTACACAGAGCCCGTCCCCCACTGCAGAGCAGCCTGAGGTGCAGGAGAAAGGAGCAAAAGCCTTGCAGGTGGCATCGTGTTGCCCTGGCAGTGCCGGCAGATGGAGAGTTAACCAGCAGACAGAGAGCTGTCAGACAAAGCCATGGATGCTTCCTCCTTCCCCCTGCATCCTCAGCATCCTCCAGCATCTACCTGCCACCCCCGGGGAGGAAAGGGCTGGCGTGGATTGGCAGCGTGTGCCAAGATGGGATGGTGCCAGCCAGGGCTGCATCCCAGGGGCCAGGAGGATGCTGCTACGTTACCGTGGAAATGATCCGCCGTTTTCCGTCGCAGGGCCTCCACCGTCTCCTCCGTGTCTGCCCACTCCAGGACCAGCCTCCGGCCGTACAAGTGGGTGCTGTGGCACAGGGCGTTGAAGGCTTTCTGCGGAATTAAGAGGGGAAAGAAAAAAAAAAAATAAAATTGAAGGGAGAAAATAAAACCTAGACGAAGATGTCCCTCCCTCTGCCCTGTGAATCTAAAAGGCCACCGGAGAACATCCGACACGGAGCACTTTGCTCTGGTGGGGCAGGATTCATCTCCATCAGTGGCTTTGACTTGGTCATTTATCTTCTACAGCCTTGCAGCAGAGCAAAAACCCGTTGCCACTCCTGCAGGCTGCTGCTCGGTAGGGAGCAGGCGGAGATCCAGCAGAGAGAGCAGCTCCAGGGTGGCTGCAGCCTGGCATCACCCCGGGACCACACCTGAGCTGGGAAAGCTGAGGGCTGGAAAAGCTGTGGAGATTTGGGGGCAGCACTAGGTGGGTCAAACCAGAACCCCCATGGGCAGGGTGGCACCTGCAGAGCCACCTCAGGACTCACAGTAGCTCAGATGGCTTTCTCTATCCGTAAGCAGCCAGCAGAGGCATTCAGGACACAGCGACTCGACACAGGGAAGGTTGACTTTGTCCTTATTTCCCACAGATTTTCAAGGAAATTCAGGACCGAGCAAGGCTGGGTCCAAAATGCAAATAAACAAACACGCCGGTCAAGTGTGTTCATGGCCAGAGGCACCCAAAGTGCTGCACAGCAACGTGAGACGTGGCTGGGCACAGGGGAAGAGAAAAGGAGCCCAAAATGCTCTTTAAGTTATCAGCTCTCAGACTCACGTGCCTGGAACAAATACGGCAGCTGTAGGACCACAGAAACCCATCCCACTGTCCTACAGGGACACGTCCTCCCGTCTGGAGGCCACCAAAGCAGCACCAAAGTTATCCTGGAGAAGCCCAGACTTCTCCTCTGAGCCATTTGCCAAACTGCAATTGTGATCCACCATGGCTGTCCCCAAATGTCACATCTCTGGGCAAGAGTGGCTCTTCCTGCAAGGGGCTTTGGTTGCCCAGGGCTGCTCCTCAGTAGCCAGGACCCTGCCTGAGCCACTGGGTTATGAAACTCAAAAAACCCCCCCATTTCCAGTGACCAGCACTCAGTACCCTGCGTTTTCCCCTCCTCTGACTCCCTTTCACTCCTATAATTCTCATCCAATATAAGAAGGAGAAAGGAGGAGCACCAGCTCCACCTCCTCCATGGCACCGCTGAGATTCCCCACCTTCCCCAGCTCCTGGTGCCCACCCTGGCGGGGGCATCGTGTCTCCTTTTTGGGGGCCACGCTCCCCTCGGAAGGGCTGGCTGGTGCTTTTGCAGCTACAGCTGTTTTTATTTGCCGCCGCTGTTGTTTTAAAGGCCTATTTTCCCTCGGAATGGTATCCAATTAGCAGAGCAATGTGTTGGCTTAAATAAACACTCAGGGGGAGGCGGCAGTCGAGGTAAACAATTCTATGATTATGGGCTGGATTAGAGGCCCCAAGGCCAACCGTTGGCCAACCTTTCTGTGGCTTCTCCTTACCATGTTACAGTACGTGAGTCTCTTTTTATCCACAGCAGCATCAAATCCTCCCCTGTAGCTGGCCAAGCTCTGGTCCCACTGATTAATAATCCATGGTGGGGTGCAATTAAAACTCAAAGAAAGTGATTTGTGGGTTTTTTCTCCTAAGGTAAGGCCCTCAGGATGGAGAGAAGGTACGCTCAGGGATGAGCCACAAGACTTAAACCTCATACAGCCTGTGCTGGGAGGCAGGAGAGCGGGCACAGGGTGCAGTGCTGGAGTCCCAGCTGTCAGGGCTGGGCACTGGCTTCCCTCCTGCCAGCACTTCTGAAACCATCTCTGGCAGCTGGTGACCACCTCTGGGGTCCTCACTTTCTCCTGGAACATTACAAAGACTCCGAACGAGCCACAAAGGATGACCTGAAAACTACACGAAATGGGAAGAAAGGCGATTCCATTTTATTCCACCTATTAGACCTATTGAAAAGATGGCTCAGAAGTGGCTCGATTGCCACGACAAAACGCCCGCACGGAGAAAAGATTTAGGAGGCCAGACCTCTCTTTAACCTAACAAATCACAGCAGAGTGAGAGCCGGGAACTGGAAGCCAAATCTCTATAAACGGTGTCTAGAAATAAAGTGCATAATTGTAGCAGAGAGAAGGCAGAGGCAGGATGTGTCTCTTGCAGGCCAGGTTTAGACTTTACAAAGTATTTCTTTGCTAAGATAAAACTGATGGGGCTGACAATGGACCTACTGGTGAGGGGATTTGGCCACTGCTCCCCAAGACACTAGCCCGAAAGGTCAGGGTGGGTCTATCAAAGCTGGAGATGCAGAAATCGGTGAGATGGAGCAGGATGAACTCATTGCTCAAGTCAAACTCACCATAAGACCCAGGGGAGTGCAAGTCACCGCATTGTCCCACTGGACCTGGGTGATAACAACCCCTCCAAGGCCTCAGGGCAACCTTCTCACCCTCTGTGAGGACTCTGCAGCCTCTCCTCCACACAGATCCACCATGGGCCAACTGTGGAAACATCGTACACCACTGTTGTGGTCACAGCAAACCAAAAACTGCACAGAAAAGAGGAAATGGAAGAAGGAAAAGAAGGACCTTTTCAAATTATTTAAATTCTGATTGCACAAAACTTGGAAGAAATGAGTCTGAAAGCACCGTGAGATGGGCAGTCTCAGTCCTTTGTCCTGCTTTCTCCAAACAGCATGGGGTGCTTGTGGTGGTGGAGCTCTCCAGATCCAAAAGGATCACAGAAGACTTTCAGAGAAAGGAAAAAAACCAAGATTCTCCCATGGGATGGCAATGCTGAACTCCGCAAAGAAATTTAGGGCGGGAAACAAGGGATAAGCTGAGTTGGATGGTGGGGTAAGAGCCACCTCAACTACCACACCATGCCTTTTGAAGGCATCTGCCTCCACGTCCTGCTTCTCAGCTGCTGCTGGCTTGGCTTGGCTTGGGGAGCAATGTGAAGACAGCAGCAGCAGTGGCTTTTGGTGGCAAAGAGCAGCTGAAGACATCAAGGACCTTTCTTTGTCTTGACTCTATTTCCTGAGCCTTGACGACTCGAAATTATCGTTTCTCTCCCATCCCCAGATCAGTTCCTTCCTACTTGGAGATAAGGAACCAGAGGGGCCTGATGGCTGCAGCCTGCAAAGCTGTGGGAAGACCCTCACAAGTCCCCCACACCAAGGTGGGAGAGGAAAACTCACAGGGACATCCATGAAAAGCGTGGGGAAGTCCAAGCTGCTCCTGCGCCTCGTGGGGAGAAGAGGAAAGCGGGGGAAAATGGGTATCGGTAGGAAAAAGTGGGTTTAGTTTCTGGTTAAGAGAATCCAGTCTGCATCACCAGTGAAATGAGATGTGTGGGCTCAGCCTGGGGGCTTTGGGGAGGACTCAAGGCAAGGCAGCGATGCTGGGTGAGCTCCGTGTCCTCTCCACCCTGGCTCCACGCAGGAAAATCAGCCTCCCCCTACACCGGGGTGGGGGGAAACGTGAAGGAGCATCTCCACGGGGGCTGAAGGCAGAGTGGGAGGTGGAGATTTCCCCTCTTTATCATGTTCTGCACACCCACAGCAAAAGGGACAGGGCCTGGCTCCCTCCCCACATCCACTGGGCCACTGGGGCCACTGGGCATCGCTGACAGAAGCCCCACAGCAAGCCCACCCTGAAATCAGGAAGGCACTTCCCAAAGAAATCAAATACCACCCGTGATGTTCCAGCCACCGAGAGGCTGAGACCTGGTCCCAGGCAGCTCCCAGTCCCACCAGTGTGTCCCAGATGGGCTTTGTCATGGAGATCCACTTCTGGCAGACCCCTCTCTGCCTCAGGATTAGCCCCCAGCCATTTCACCTGAGCACCAGGCAGGGGTTGAAGTCACTGGATGCTATTTCTCTCCCCTCAAGACGGGCTGGAGCAGCGATGACTGTCGCCTCCCATCACATTTTCGGTCCCTAAAGATGGGGAGGGATAACATTCCTCCTGTTTTTCAGCTGAGCCCCTGGAGACACCACAGCTCCGAGGCTGCATCACCCCTGGGATGTGAAAACACTCTTCTGCCACTCTCCCAGAGTGAGGAAGACCCTGGAGAAGGGGGCTGGAGGAAGAGCAGACACAAATTGGGAAGCAAGCTGGGGCTGGGGGGGAAAAGGGAAGTGACAGAGCTCGCAGGCAGCAGCAAGTCTGTAGCCACCAGAAAGCCAAGGCTGTTTTTCCCCCCTGGACTGAGCAGAGCAGAAAGGGAGAAAGGAATATAAAACGGGGTGCATGAAACATCACACCCGCTGCCTCCTCCACCTGGGTGGAGATTTGCATTAACACCACGTGTCCCCCCTCCAGTGCTGGGTTCTGGGTGGGCACATCCACCCCCCCAAGCAGCCACACATTCCTCCCCCGTGTCCCCATGGGCACAGCCCAGCCCCACACCCCGGCTGTGACACACACCTTGACACCCCTGGGCTCCTTTTGGTCTCCTTTTTTTGGCACTGTGTTGGAGATCCCACCCTTTGGATCCCAGCACATCCCACTCTGCTCCATATTCCCCACCCTCAGCCTTTCCACCACCAAACTGCAGCTTCCCCAGCCCCTATTAATCAGTGCACGTGACTCCACGAACAGGGGGCTGGGTCCTGCTGGAGTCAGGATTGCTAAATAAGTGTGGTTTGCTGCTTTTTCCATCACTGGGGGACTGCGACGTGCAGCCCCAGAACCATTTATGCCAACCCCCCCCCTCCCGGGGCGACGGGCACGTGTGTGATGGAGCAGGGAGGCTGGGAAGGGGTGCAGGGGGAAGAGCATTGATCTCCAGCTTAGCCCACCAGCCCAGGGGAGCCCTTCCTACATAAATATTTGCCAAGCAATGCATTTGTGCCTGTCGATGGCTGTCAATAGGAGCCTGCAGCGCTGTTATCTGCCGAGCTGTCACTCTCGGGAAGCTCATCCAAGCAGCCCTCTCCCCATCTCAACCAAACTGTCTGTCCCTTTTTCATCAGGCGTACACAGAGCCCGTCCCCCACTGCAGAGCAGCCTGAGGTGCAGGAGAAAGGAGCAA